ACATGTACACTCGTGGTGTGCGCGTGAAAACAGCGGTGAATGCTGCGAAAGTAATCATTCGAGATGATTAATGGAACTCTCATTGGTATTGCTTCAGCTGAAAGCAATTCTAAAAATCTCAAAGAAATAGAAAAATGTTTTTAACACATATCTTTGCAAAGAGAGAAAAGATAAAATATTCATTTATGTATAAGATGCATACAATCTTACTTCATCTTAAAATTTTATTTTGTATATATATATAGTTGATTCAAGTAACATATCAATGGAAATACCTTTCACAGAGATTTGAATTCAAGTAGACAAACACACGCGCGTTTTCTCACTGCTTTCACAATAGGAATCGATTCGCCATAAATGACAGGCATCGTTGCAAGTCGAGTGAAAGCGGAGAGCGCTGGAGGGAGACGGTTATACGTAAATTCATATTGAGGATATCGCGGATTAGAATACATAAGTAGATGAAGCGAGGAGTGTATCTTTGGAGGATATAGTCCAGTTCCTGAAGAGAGCCACTGTTACTTCTTGGTCCCCGTCCAGCCCCGCGATGGTGCTTGAACTATTTTCTGAATACGTAAAACTCTTGCCTGCGGAGAGGCAGGCGGCCAAATATTCATGCGACCTCATATCGTGAAATGCAAACGGATGATTCGTCTCTTGCGATACGTAAACTGGATTATGCGCCACTGAGGCAGGATAGAGCCGTAGCGAGCGAGAGGTGTACAGCAAATAAAGCAGAAAAGCGAAGGAGAGCCCTACGGGCCGTCTAACGCAGACTCAAAGAATATAAAATCAAAGGGAGTTAAGGTTCTAAAACATTGAATGCCTGCACAACTCTGTTGCCTCCGCAGAGCAGTTATGCCTTTCGGGAGCATCTCGCTAAAGTGAATTTAAAATAAGTGATTCTTCTTGCTCTTTGTATAACTTCGTCGTTTTTCTTTCATAATGATAGACACATATATTACAAATTTGTATAAACAGCATTTACTTTGAAAATTATTTACTCAGTAAGAGAATCTTGAAGCAGCGATGATAACAGCGATATAACATACGTCTGCATAAAAAAGCTTTTATCAAATTATTTTTTCTAATTAAGGCACAATTGAAAAAAATAAATAAATAGAATTAGTACGATATTGAAGTTTGACAAAAGTTTCATTAAAAAAAATCAGTTCTCCGCATTCGTGCCAAATTTTAGAAACGCGATTTTAAACCAAAATCGAAACTCAATAAATTTTCACTGTAATACATCGGCGTGTAGCAATTTTCGAAATATTGGAACGTAACGGGCGCGCATTGTTTTAATTAATGATCACAACAATTTTCTGTTTTCAGTTATTGCCATAAAAACCCAATGAAACATAAAATACGTACGTATATAATTGCTCCCCTCGTTTTCAATTATTCGTCCGGAAATTTTGCGCGTTTTATTTTAACTCCTATTAAAAATTACTTTAATCTGATTTTCAAGAGAGCCAACGACCTACGTTATTCCTCTTGCCACCTTTAAATCTTTATACTCAATTCTTTAAGATCGATAAGAATTGGTAGAAATTTTGTGTCAAGATTTAATCGTAGATTTAAATGATAAAATCAATCACAAACACGATGAATAGATGGGGAAAGAGTTGTTCTAGAAGCTCTGTTCACGTGCCGGGAGTTGTTTACTCATCTGCACGATGTGTTTGCGCATTCTCGATAGAATATCGTTGTTTTGCTAAAATTCCCCTTCTGTCTCTCTCTCTCCTAATAGGACACGAATGCGTCCAAAAATTCTACAAACAAAATCCGCTTTAATCCACAATAAGCGTAAATGAAATTTGGAAACTGCACTGACACAATTTTTCTCATCACGTTAATCTTGAAAGCAGTCTGTTTAGTAGAAAGTAATTAAAGCATAAACAGATCACACGTTAGGATCAAATTGGCTTTACGCGGAACGTACAAAAAACGTTAATTAGTCTACTATAAAGCTTTATTTTAATGATTATATACTCCAATTAAAACTTCATTCGAGTTGATTTTGACGGTTCGTGGTTGAATACGCATGGAAACGTATATGTAGCGACAAAAAAGTTTTCCTCTCATTTCTCCGGCTGATATGTCTGCTTACTTTTTGTTCGCAGAAAGTTACGAACGATAGCATCCGCTTAGTATTATGCTGGTACGAAGTTTTTCGACTGCCGGCACGTAGTTGACTCGCTGAACAATATTTTCGTACTCGGACAAGCCGATAAAAAGTACCGGGGATACTTTCCCGTAATTAACCACTATACGACGCTGGAAAAGGCAAAAAAATCCCACAGCCAACCGACAGGCAATACGTACATTTGTGTCTGTAAGCTCGAAAAAAAAAAGAGCGATAGTGGGACAAATGTTTTATTTAGAACAATGCAACGTGGACGAAGTAGAAACGGTCAGTTCGGGGCAAGATGGGAGCGAACTTCGTCAGAACGGATTAATTTTCTATGCCGTTTTCCTGTTGGGAACTGCTCCATTATCGATCCTGTTGCTGACGATGGCGGCGTAGGAGGAAGTCGTCGGTATAGTGTCGGTATAGTGTTGCGCGAGGTCACAGTTGTGCAACAAATTGTGATAGGAAACACCTCGGCGTCTCCGAGATTAAATAGATCGCTCGGTTCTAATATCAGAAATAATACGATTTTCGAATTGTCCGCGAAGTAATAACTAAACCGATCTTTCCTTGTAATCACGAGGGCCGTCCCGATGATCAGCGGCGCCCTATTTGTCGCACACGGTATGGACAAAAATACGCTCGCTAAAATTTATATTAAAATTCATGGGACACGCGTGTTTCTCGCCGCGATTACATCTCCGTGTACGGATGCACGTATTACGTCCGCTCTATACATACATCGTCGGCGAAAATTGCGAATGCTATATCACACGACCCTCGGGACTTTACGTATTTCGCGGCCGACGATCAATCGCCTACCTCTCTACCTATAAACACAGGGGCCAACGTGGGTTACAAAATATTAATTTTCGAGAACCCGGCTGCGGCGTAGTATATGATTAAACCGTCCCCGGTAAAAAAGGATGTCCGCGGAGTTTCGTAGCCATTGAATGTTTTCCATAGACACACGTAAAGCGTAAAATTTAAAGGAAGCTTGAAACGGATGGTGTATTCATCAAACAGAGGCAGAAAAGAAACTGTATGAAATAAAAATAAAAACTATACTCAATTATTATTTTTAAACTTAAGGTAAAATATTGCCCACGCAATGTTTTTGTTATAAAAATTATATATTGCCAAAATTACAATTAATGACATATAATATCCAAGATTATTTTAATTATATTTTATACTATAAATGATATTTATAAAGTTACAATAACATAATATTTAGAGATATATTTTATTTAATATCTACATGTAATACATTTATTATGTTACATAACATAATACATTTATTGTTAGACTGTTTTGAAATTATATTTAATTTCGCGGAACACAATCATTCGTGTAAAGCAAGAAAAACAAACGATGATCGGAAATGAACTCGAACATATCAAATGGTATCTAATAATATCAAAGACCATTTTGAGAAATCTACTGAAGTAGTTAAGGGTAAAAAGATATAAGTGTATATATCATATCGATAATTCGATAAGCCTCTCGATATCCCCGACCATTACTTGCTTCCTTTTTTTAAATATCCACCGTCTCATGAAGTACCAATCTGTTTCAGTAATAACCAGAGTAAACGACTAGACGTGACGTCACTCGCTTCCAATGCCACTAACAGTTGGAAGCAGTGAAATTGTCGAAGAAGAAGGGAAACCGACATCTCTCTTAGATGGACAACAGATTTGCGTTCGCGTCGCACGGCCATTACACGTTAACGTCGGACTTTGTTTGCTCCAAAAATTGATGCGCGCCATATTATTATCTTTGCCTTCTCTATTTTCGTCGTTAAATCGTAAACGACGATTTCAAATCGCGTCTCGATCAATGCCTTAGCGAGGAGAGAACTCGTTTGATTACGGAGTATTTCTTTCGGGTTTACCCGTGATTTGTGATGCAATTGGGTTTTTACAAAATTTCAATAAAATCTCTTGGTCGCATTTTTCCGGACAAATAACGAAAAAGCGATCGAACAAGGAGAAACTAAATTCACAAACGGTTCATCCGGAAATATTGAATTCGAACATGTGAAGTAAAAAAGTTTATAAATTATTTAAATAAAATTGTAAAAATTACATTCAATGTAACGGCGTGCTACATTATCGGTGCTATTAACGCCAGCATTGTTCCTCTAACTAACATCGCGAGCTAATTGACGTAGTATTTGATTCAACTAATTATTCGTCTGCGCGCCAATGTCTTTCCGGTGCTTGTCTCTGTTTTCCCCCTAGCCTACTAATTACGTACAAATATTCTGCTGCGCCGGCACTCCTTTCGTGTAAACTTATGCCTTCGTACACATGTACGGTGCTTGCACAGATGGGAAATCGCACAAGTTCAAGTAGAGAGGCAAACATCATCTGTGCACTTTGTAGTTTCGACGTGTACATGCTCGCTGATACTGATTGTATGCCGTTTGTTTATCATGCCATTACTGCGATTGCCATAGACACACTGCGATGTACGAATTATATGTTTCCACGTTGCTATTATCACGTCAGCGAGATTAGTTTTCCGCATTGAGCCACGAAGATTTTCATTAACGCATGCAAATTCTAAATTCGACAGTGCGCTTCTTTTAACGCATATGGCATATATGTATATATAGTATATACGCGAGCAGTTAAAAAAATATATTACTGTGTTAAAGAATTCAATGTACAAGCAAAAGAAATTGTTATTTCTACAGTTTCTGTAGTTGACACATGAGACCGCGTTTTGCGCCACAGTTCCGGCTCTCGCTGGAATCTCATTATACGTTTACAAGAATGCGACGCGAGGCGCCGCGCTAAAGCGCAAACGAAATGGGTGCATGCGACGTTATAATTAATTAATTGCGTCTAAAACTTACCAATTGTGGTGAGCACTGTCAGAGAATAGAGGAACGCCTTTGCGAAGTTCCATTCGTATTCCGGCACACGGCGTTCCGTTACGGTCTCGCTGGTGGAACCCCCGGTATACGTCCCGGCATTCTGGGTCGCCATCATGTCCTCCGTGATCCTTTTCACTAGTTGGTCCTGAAATCGCGCGATCTCCTGGTCGGCCAATTTCGTCCAGTTCTCACGGTAGAGAACGTTCAAATGCTCCGTGATTATCCATATGTTCTCCACGGTCTTCGTCCGGGCCTCGTGATTCAGCTTTCGTCACACACACACCGAAAGTTATTAATTAAGCAATGTTTGAAGTATACCGTCCGGGTGGACTGCGGACTACGTCTACGTTCGTCTTAAGATTATAATTGACATACTGTCGATTAAATTAAACTCGCGCGCGCGTTAATTAATACACGTCAGACACGGGGATGAATTGACAGCTGTTATCGCCAGTTTACATCTTGTGACAAATGGTAAACCCTGCGTGATTGCCCCTCGTCATTGGATCGTACAGCACAAAACTCCGAGAGTTTCGCACGGAGAGAAGGCGAGTTAATAAAACGCAATGGAAAATTGCTTTTTTTTCCAGCGGCGCAACGATAAAATCAGGCGAATTATTTATAAAAAGAGAACGGAATATTCAATCGTTTTGCCGATGAGCGATTGCTATCGGGAGAACAATCCGTTGTTGTTATTATTGGCCGGAAGCAACAGACAGCGGCCTTTGTGCCGATGTCCTCGGGGAATACGCTTTTCCTGTAAAGCGTAAGGATAGTGGAAAGGAAGCACGATCGATAAAACTTCGTTGAAACGAGCGCTCGCGCCAGAACGCACCGATAATTCGATTGACTTCGGGTTCACTGAGGTCACCTCAGGTAGAAAAGCGGAATGAAACCGGAGACGTGACGATAAATCGAGAGCTGGTGCCGCCGGAACTATTTGCTCCTCCTCAAGGGGAAAGAGAAGCAAAAACAAGTTCGTGGCTTACGTTCGCGACAACGGCAACGACAACCGTGATGCACTCATAGTATCGACAAATCTGTTTACTCGCCTTCCATTATTTTTACTCTTATTGCACTCGCTCGTATGTAGCGTAAACATACTACACAGTTTATTACGAAATATATGTCTACGACTTTTTAAGTTCGAGAACGCAGTTTCGTCATACGTCTTCGTTGGATGATCATACAACTTCTCGCAGTCTATGATTTACAGCTACATTTGTGAGCGTAATAAGGATACTTCTTGAAAAGGAAATTCTGCATGATTTAAAAATATGTTGCAACATTTTTCCGCTCGCACTAAAAGCGCACAAAAAAAAAACGATATTTCTCGAGAGAAGAGATAGAATTACTACTAAAATACTGCTAAAAAATAAAATTACTGTTGAAAAGAATTTAGATGCAGTAAATGTACAAGAGCAATTTCATTCTCTCACCTGTTTTATCCAAGCGCTGTTATTCCTCCTGGTGTGCTGATTTCCGGCTATCGTCGTGGGGAGGGTTCTCTGCTGCAGGCCGACGCCGTCGATGGTTCCGCTCTCGATGGCCAGGAAGATGAAGCTGCCCAACAGGGTGTAGGCCACGAGAAGGGCGCATATCCCGAGGTTTATGACAAACCCCTTCAGGAAAGAATGCTGGCTGGCTTTGTCAGGTACACCACCGAAGCATAAGCATCTCACTTGCCGAGACGAGTGCGTCTTCGAGCGGTCCGACATCGATCTTTTCAGGGACGAGGTGTTGCCGTTGTTCGCCGGCTTGAAGCCCTCGTAAGCTCTGTAATGCCTAACGTTGTCCTTCTCCATCCTCTCCTTGTCCTATCTACAGAGTTATCGAGTCCTATCGCCGTCAGTTTCGCATTTATCGCAGGATATGTCGCCGTACGCGCGCATTTACCGTCCACCACTCACTCATAGCGCGACGATGGAGTTAAGCCGAAGGCGAAAGATTCATCGGCTCTCGGTGATAATTCTCGCGCCTCGTGACGCGCGTGACATGTCAAAGGTTTTGCACTCTGTTGTCTGTCTTCAGACGCGCGATTACTAGCTCGTCCGCTGCACGATTCACGTTCACTCGTTCGTCACGTAGAATTATCTCGGATTATCATACTTCGCGACAACGAAGCAAGACTCTCGGCAGGAATGGAGTTTTGTAATGGAGTCTTCTTCGTACGCGCGTCCTCGAATCTCGCAGACTCAATCGCCACAGCCGCATGACTGGAGTTTCGCGCGAGAGCTATAATCTAGGGGACGGATCTCTCATCGCGTTTCTTCGACCGCCGCGCCGCTCAAATTCGCCGACGTCATTCGGCCAGATGTCACCTTGATTTTCGTCACTGTCGATTTCTTATTACGACGCGCGATCGAAATCGCTCGACTGAATGATGCCCTGGAAGGATCCTCCGACAGCAAAGGGACGCTCGATCGTACGTAGCGCGGACACTTCCGTCATTTTTCCATAGCAAGATCGTTCCGGCTGGAATGTGGATTGGAATTCTATAGAGAAAATCGATGTTCGAAATATGTTCGGCGATATTAGTTACCTCTCGGAACCCTTTTGTTGCGGACACTGATGGCTAATGTTATAAAAATATTCTCTCGCAGAGAAGATATTTTAAAGACCGGTTCATAAAGTTAGCTTTTTTCTAGCTTTAATATTTCAGCACCATTGCAATTAACTTTAGAGAGTAGAGTTATAATAGCATTATAAAAGACAAATAATTAAACGGGGTGATCTATAAAACGAATAACGCTTTGCTTAATTGTTTTACGAGAAGGGAGAGAGTAAACATATTACGTCATGACGTCACAAGAACGATTACTTATTGCTCGTCGCGTTCGTTCGTGAGTGCGACATCAACTTGCGCGGAGTTAACGGCTCTCGAGTTATGTGACTTAATTTAAGTTCGTAAACGAATCGCGATACAAGTGTTACTTCGCGCCGACTAATGCATTACCGCGCGGTATACGTAGAAAATGGATGAAAAATAACGCCTTCGAGAAACTGAGGCTACTAATCTTTCCTCCTTCCTTCTGCCTCGCTCTCTCTCTCTCTCTTTCTCTCTTGCTCTCTCCCTCTCTCTTTCTCCACTCTATATATTTCTCACTCTCTCATCGAGAAAACAGAAACTTAGAGAACGGGCACGGAGGAAATTTTCGAAAGAGTCTCCATGAGTCACTTAAACTTTCTCCCTACCGTCTGAATGCGAAGCCGCTCAGTTTTCCGCTCTCCCATCTTTCCTTCGGCTCCAAGTGCAAAAAACGAATGGCGGCGGAGGAAGGTGGAGCACGGTTCGTCGGCAGGCGATGGAAACTTCAAAGCCTCATTCCAACAAACTGGATTTCCGTAATAAGCAAGTCCGATGCACGTCCGTGGGCGCCGGTTTGCGCTCGCGCTGAATGTTTTAGCGAAGCTTTTTCCTTATTTTATCTTTTCCCGTCCTCGACGAATTTCCGCGTCCGTTTTAATGCACCGTCAGGCAGTCGCGAGCGAGGACCTTCCTCTATAGAGAATTGGACTTTCCGCACGCTGGAAAGCCGATTAGCACAACCGAAGTCGAACCAGTAATTTACTTGTGTCTTTCATGCGCCGCGAGAGAAGCGCTTGGCGCTCGGCGCATGTAAATAAATCGCGTGTTGGTCTTCCGGGTTCTGTCTTGAAGCTCAAGAACGTCGCGCCACTTTCGTGCTTCGCTGGACTCTGAAAGGAGAAAAAGAGACTCGATTACTTACACTAGTTTCCTCGAAAGAACGTTAAGTAATTAACGTTAAAACGCTCAATCATGAACTACCCGGTGTCTCGATATAATTGTTTAGCGCTCGCCTAGCAGAAACGATTCAATGAATTATCTATATATACCTCATATACGCTCATACTTTTTTATGGGAGACACTATCGTGCTTTCGTAATATCGGAGAATTCAATGCACTCGGACGAATTTTATTTCCAGTCGGAATTTGTGAGAATCCCGACATCGGCATTGCTCGTCCGTGACTGTTTCGACGTCCTAAGAAAGACGGTTGAATTCCAGAAGGACTTTCGACGTAGAATTATTCGAGGGCCCTGGGGGAAATCGCGGGAAACTTTCGAGCTACGTGTTTTCCTGTGTACTTGCACTCGGTCACCTGGAGCTTTCCAACGGGGACAATAATCGACGGTCATGGTAGACTCTCTGCCATTATGGGAAGTACAGAAAAGGAAGAAAGAGGACGAATTGAGAGACGAGCGATAGACGGCTGCGGGATAGAAAGTCCGCGGGATCGAGAGGAAACGGCGATGGATTCCGCGCGGAAAATATTGCTTTCTTCGTACGTTCGACATCCATAAATGCATAGCAAGATCAACCGATCCGCGACACCGTCCCTCTTTATTCTTTACCGTGATTTAAGACGCGAGCTCGAGGGATATACGGCCGGCTTTGAAACTTTCATGAAAAATGATTTGCATAATGCGTAAGCCGGATGGATGATCCACGCCCGCGGAAATGTAGCGGCAATGTATTTTTAATATTAAAAATACGCGCGAAATAATGTATTGCCTCAAGCCTCATTTCAACTGATATACCGAGCAAATGTCTTCCCCGTAATTAGACAAGATCCTCTAATTATATATCCCGGAATTAATTCCAACCTGAGTGGCCGTAATAATGGCGCCGGCAGCCGTGGAGCTTAGTAATATCTAGGGGGAAAGTCAGATTTGGCGCTCGCTCGCACAATAGTGGAACATCTCCCAAAATTCACCCTCCACTGGTCATATGCATTCATAGCTGTCTAAATATGCACAATACACACGGTCCCGGTATAACAAGGCCACTTCTCGACAATAACATTCACACGAACACGAATCGAAGTAAGCACGTCGGATACTAACTCGACGCTAATTTATCGTTTGGCGTGATCGATCGTTGCGCTCGATCGGCTCCCGTTCTCTGCGGCGAAGAAACGATCCCGCCGCGGAACAAACTGCCAAGCCAGGCTGCTGATCGTAAATCGGATCTGATCTCTCCTTCTTTCGTCTCGATTTGCTCTCTCTCTCCTCCCTTCTTTACGACTTATTTACGAGCTTGCGTTTCTGACGTCGCGAGCATTCACGTAAAACCATTGGTATCCTCGACCGTTATTGTCTACCTTTATTTATCACTTTCTGTTAATAACTATCGTCTCTTAAGCTTGTACACGTCGCGCGTCGGCGACGTGTGAACGACGTTGTAAGACAGCGCGCGATCGCTGGCGCGTAACAAACGCCGTCCACCTCGATTCTAAAGATGGTAAAGGCGCGCCTCGAGAGAATTAACCTCGATTTTTTTTCACAGAGTTAATATTTATTGACCGGATATTTAAATAGAGTATTTTATGAAATCCGTAATAATATACCCAATTTAAAAACTGCTATGTATTAATTTTATAAAACATAATAATATGAAAGAAGAACGCGGAGGAAAAATTATACGGAATGAAAATAAATTTAAATGTACATGTTCCATAGTATTCTGTCAGATTTTGCCCGAATGTACCGAATGTGCCATCGCTTCATGGAATCTCGTGGAATTTCGTGAAATTTCGTTGGAATTTCGTCAAATTTAAAACTGCGTGTCTCATGTTGAAACGTTATTTCACAGAGATTGCATCGCAGCTGGGCTCGTACATTAGCATTTATAACCAATTCACAGCGAGAATCGAAGAATAACCGGCACAAAAGTCGATTACATCACCGACGGCTTCGTCGTCCACGAAGGTAGAGGCTTTATGGGGATGGTTCTCGCGAAAAGCAAGGATGGACAGGAGAGAGAGCGATGAAAAGAGGAAGGGAGAAAGAGAGAGAAAGGGAAAGAAAGAGAGAGAGAGAGGGAGAGAGAGAGGAGGGCGAAAAATGTGCAAGAGAGAAACGAAACGCGAGAAGAGATGAGGGGCAGGGAACAGGGGAAGGGGGGTGACGAAATGCAATTTTTCCGTTCGGCGCTTTTTCCAGCGACAGGGGAACCACCTGTGCTCGTCTCAGCGACTTTTAAATTCGTACCATTGTCGGCTCTATTTGCTGAAAAATGTTTATTCAATTTCGTTTACCGGCACTGCAAGATATTTACCCGGTCGCTTTTGCTCGAACAGTTCTCGCACCACCGCGAACGATGGATATTGGACGACGCATACAGGTATACGACGAGGACCCCGGGCGAGAGTGGGGACGATCGGTTGAGTAAAGTTCACGATATGCATAAGACCGCAATTTTCCTACGCTTCCGGGGGAGCTGCGTCATTGAGGATATCAAAAATAGATTTCAGCTCGTGAGAAAAAATCTGCATATTTTCGAGTCGATGACGTTGGCCCAGATTGCGCCTAATGTTTGAAGTGACGTTCGAGATTTATCGCGCGATATAGAAAAATTTGGAGACAAATCGTAGGAATTGTACGAGGAATTGTATAGAAATCGCGAGTCACGTAGAACATTTGAAAAGCTTTCCTCGAGCGACGTACGATTGCATTTCGCGCGGATATAAATCCATAGAATAAATCGGGCGATCTTAATCATTGCGACGAAAATAGGGTCGTACATGCGGGCTGAATTACGATGAGTCGAGAATGAAGTTACGAGTATTCTCTCTCTCCCGACTCCCGCGTCGACTTTGTCCGGTTTTGTGTATCAGCGAACGAGATCGCTGTCGGCGATAGAAATTTATGGCAGAGTCCGAAACCCTCGAAAATTTCATTAAGCCGTCCGTATAGCGATATTGAGAATCGACGGCGAACCGATCGAAAATGGAAGTTACTATCACGATACAATGCATTTGACGTAACCGCCTAGGCTACGCGCAAAAAGTGAGTTTTGGTGTGGTTTACGTGCACATATACGGCAATTAATCACCAAGCGCGGCAAATATTTCATAAATGTTTTGAAAAAGCAACGCGATAAAAATTTTTTAAAATATCACATTTATTTCTGTGATTAAAAATTGACGTATTAAGGATATTACGAAAAATATTAAAAAGTAAAGATACAAGTAATATTAATTAGAATCAACATTTCACATGTAAGATGAGTCAGAATTTGACTTTTTTTTAACAACGTTCAACAATTTTTTTTTTTAAGTAGAAAGGATTAATATCTTGAACTTTTCCATCGATGATCACGTCCGATTCGTAAAACATTTAAGATGGTTAAGTTCCCTCAGATCGGTTCGGCCGACAAAGTTGGTTGAGAAAAGAAAAACCGTCGTGCTTAGTAACTTCCCTTAGCGTCCCACGCGGATTACAGCCTTATGTGTTTCTAACTTTTTCTTTAAGATCCGTTCAGGTTAGCCGAGCGGTCTTATCTGCGCAAATTGAGCACACCGAGTGCGGCGAGGCGACTGCAATCGCGGGTAGGAACTACCAAGGAACAAATAACGGCGATACATTTTCGCACAGCTGTTCGGTAAACTCCACCGCGCTGCCGCGCAGCGCCGCGCCGCGCTTGTCTGACCAAGAGCGCCGCGACTACTTACGCGCCTCGATGTGCTTAAATGTCGCGGGCGCCGCAGAATAAGGTAGATCCAGAATTTCTTGGAATAATTTTGCTACACTATGTATGTGGTGGGTACTGAGTATGTGTGTGTGTGTATGCGCGCGCGTGCATGAATCCGCGTCGCGGAAGTCATTTGGAGCGAGTCCTTTGGCGACTCGACCTGCCCTGGGATCGCGGCATCGGGCGTCTCGGGCTGCCTTAACGGTGATACGCGCCACGATTTTGTGGATTTTCCTCCCGTGGCGTATCAAGGCTGCCGCTACACGCTCGAATTTACCGTCGCGGAAACTTGTCGCGCGCGTTCCCAACCCGCGTCGTCCCCTCGCGAAGTTTCTCGTTAAAGACGGAGGCCGGCTTCGGGACGCGAATGAGCAACTTGTCGATAACCGCGACGCACTCGCGATCGCGATCCGGCTCTCGCATAAACTCCACGCCGCGCCCGTCATGTTGCGTCAATATTTCCGACCGCGCGCCGCATGAGCGAGCACTTCACTTTGAAGCGCGCCTTCACCTTTTGCCATCGAGCAATCCGGGAGATTGGACAAGTTTTCGCCGGTTTCCGCTATACGCAGCGGTTATGCCTGATATAGTTTCCGTAATCATATTTATGCGGACGCTCAGGGGATTGCGTGGCGCTCCTGAATTTTAAGATTTATATACTTACGTCGCGTGCAATTTCGCGGATTAACGACTTATAATCTTGTCAAATTAAGTAGCTTGAATGTAAGGATGAAGTTTACGTTACTTTAATATTTGATTTACGAATTACAGCGGACTGGCAAAGTATGAAGCTCCCAGGTGCCGCGCCATTGTATACTTTGCATAAGTTATCTCGTTGGAGCTATTGGGACGTGCCGAAGAGTTGCGAATGAAGTCGTCGGACGGATTAGAAGTCGGAATTTCGTGGAGTTTGCCGTATAATTTTTGGGACTTAGCGTATATATACTAGAGTGTAAATATTCGCTTTGTCAAATATCAAAGAAGAATAATTCACTTACATCGGAGCATTACAGAAACGTTGATATATAAGGCACGCAATTTTGCATCTCGTGTTATACACCAACGTGTAGCAAAGTTGAGAATGCGCGCGTGTTCGGCTCTCGTTCTCCGAGCTACGCTATATCGGGTAAGTGACGTAACGTCGAAGCAACGAAGTTTCCTCCAATAAAGCTTTAAACGCGTCTCGCTGATCCATAAATTA